GAGGAATTCCAATATATCGGGTCTAAAACTATCGATCTCGCCATCGCAGTTCTGCATAAAACCATCAAAACTCCCCAACAGTACTTCCAAAAGGAGGCGTCTCGCCTCCGCGCTGCCATGGTCGAAAGCGGCACCAAGTCCCTTCCCAAAGCCTCGCCAACTCCTCCGTGAGATTTCCCCTGTACCTGAACAGCAACAGCAGGGTGGGTGCCCGGTATCCCCAACAACCGGGCCGATTTACAGGGAGGAGAAAGAGAAAAAAAAGGAAAAAGAAAGAAATCACACGCGAAGGGTCGACGATGGCACTCGGCGAGAGCTGCGAGCAGATCTACTGAGTCATGTATGCCACTCGCATGTAGAAAATTCTCCCGCGAGGTAAGATCCAAGCTACCTCCGAAGTAACAACACAACAGTAACAAAAAAATGCAAATGCCTCAGTCCTTCCTCTTACTCGGGGTCTCCCGGCTGCCTTGGAAGATGCCACTCAAACTGCCAACTCCCATTTGGATCCAGTGCGCCATACACATTCACAGCGTCTAAGGTCCGCATGTAAAGGAGTAAAAAAAAAAAAAAATTATATATAAAATAAGAAGAAATGGAAGTGGGAGAAATGAAAGGGGTGGGAGAAAAGGACACAGCCCCGGTAAGGAGGCTCCTCCTGCGTGTCTCTTATTGCTCTCGCTGCTCCCCGCAGTTTGCAATCCGCACCGACACCAGCCCGGGCTGTTTCGGGGAGTCTATAAATCCACTCCGAGCGTCAGCGCCCCAAGTCCCTGGAAGGCGCATCCGCAGGGCTCCGGCTCCCCGCGCAGGGGGCACCGCTGTCCGTGGCGCGGGCAAAGAGAGCCCCCCAAGAGGGCCAGAGCGAGTAGAAGGGGTTAAAAATATTAATTACAGAGGGAGGAAAAAAAAAAAAAGTGTGCGTGTAGAAGGGGTGTCGTAGCTCGCTTTCTCTCTATCCCCCGGCGAGATCCGCAGTGCGTGCCGCGCAGCGAGACGCAGCGGGAGGAAAGCCGGGCACTGCGCCTTGCGCCGCCGCGCAGCCCAGCGCGGAGGAGGAGGAGGAGGAAGAAGAGGAGAAGGAGG